AAGCTGTTATTATAATTATTAGCCGTACAGCAGTGGATTAACAAAGGGCGTGTTGTTTATAACGTTTACATGATATGAGAGTCAAAGGTGAAAGTGTCTCTGCGTGCTCACGTGAGCAGCGTGACAACGATCATCTCCTTCCGTGTCTCGGAACGAGTGAGAGAAATTCCACATTTTTCTGGCGGGGACCCCAGTCTCCCCGCAGGGACGCTTTGAGTTCCCACCGATTAGGATTTGAATCGGCAAATATTCAACCGTGAGAAATTGGCCACTTAACCTTTCAAAGGATTGTTTGACTTTTTTAAAGGTGTTGTTTGATCAAATGTCAGTTCAAAATTGTTCATTTGTTGACTTTCTTAAAAGTTTCTACTTTTATCAGGCCCCACGGTTTAAAAGTGGATCTCTCTGCCGTCGCTTTGATCTTCTCTGAAGATGGGACATCACCGCAAATGTCAGCCTACTATATAATTTTGTTGATGTTGTAAGGCGGTGTTAATAACAAACGTGGGGAGTTTTATTGATTTATCAAGTTACAAGTCAAGTGCTGGGTGCCACAGCATCACACGGCAGAATGAAAGTTCCCAGTTTATATATATGTTTTTTTTCCCATTTGAATTGTCACTCAAACTTTTGAGAAAGGTTAAGTGGGCTTGGGCAGCACACGTCAACGCAATGCATGATGGTCAACGGTCATGAATAACGAGGGAGGAGGGACAGCTAAAGAATTGAATGTCCCCGAAGAAGCTCTCCACCTTGTGCAGGTTGCTTGGGTGGATTATTACATCGCAGGGTCCTCGGAAGAGGTGGCATTGGCAGTTTGGGAAGGCCCTCATGTGGCAGTGGATTGATCATGGCTGATGATGGTGAGAGAGATGATTGGGTGGATTGCCTTTATAACCATCTGACAGTTGGTAGTTGCCAGAAATCTGTTTACTAAGTCCTCGTTAAAAATAATGAACATTGTCAAAACAATCCGTTTGCAGAGTACAAGCAATGTAAAAAAAAACATGATAAATTAACTGACTAAAAATCAGCATGAAATGTAATAAAAATAGCACAACATCTGAAAACATGAAAAGACAACGAAAGAAATCTACAAAATATATATGGCAACGAAATAGAAATAATTAAATAGACTAATATTTCAGCACTTGTTTGCATATTAAGATGAGGAATTTACACACGTTCACGTGCAGCCCTTTTCTCAATCCACTGCTGGATCAGAACCTCGACGTAGCAACGCTTCGGGCTGTACGCAGAGGCTTAGTGCGGCGAACAATGCCTTGCCCATACAAATTCCACCAGCAGAAGGCACCGCACGCGCGCACGCACGCACGCACGGACGCACCCACGCACACACAACCCAGGCTGTTTTGCACCGCAGGCCCACCGGAAAAGAAACGCCACTTCGCTCATCATCCTCCCCCCCCCCCTTTTCATTTGCCTGTCATCGTCGTCTTTGATTTTCCGTTTAATATCCTTCGGTCGAGCTTTTTTATAATGATGATGAGCGCCGGTCTTTCACGCGTCGACTGATTTCCCGCGAGTTTCACCGAGTCGTGGAGAGCCCCCCCCCCCCTCGGACAAGGGATTTAATTGGCCGCTGAGCCCTCTGGTTCATTAGGGTGCCGTCAGGGCTGCCGGCTTTCGTGAGTTTATTTTATTAAACGCCGCAGCGCTTTGATTTTCCCACGGGAAGATTCGAGCGAGTTCAGTATTTGAGGGGCTATTAAAATGCATGCATGTCACACGGAGTAGCCCAAAAGTCGGGAGGCATAGGGTTATTCTATTCATCTCAACACATCCAATAGGGTTGTTTTATTTATTTAAACGAATGTTCAAACTGACTACCATTAACATTAATGCACGCATTAATTTTATTTTGAAATTAATGTAGGACTTTTTTTTTAGAGATTACAGATGTAACATCTTTGAACATTCATCAGTTATGTTTTGTTTAAACTCATCCAGGGGTTATTGGTCGAGTTTTGTCAATCTCATCTGAAAAAGAATACAAATAGACATTATTAGTCATTATAATAGACACCATACCAACTTAAAATAAAATAAACAATTAGAATGTTTGAATGCAAAGTGTAAACATAAAGCTGATGTGTCCTGACTTTTGGGCCACCCTATATATATACGAACATATATATTTCAATGAGCATAAAGAAGCTCAAATGACATTTCGCTGGCTGGAACTCATTAAAAATGCACGCATGCACTCTTCACACTTTTGAGCAGCTTGCGCGGGGAGTATTTGAACCGTCCATATGTGTGAGCACCGTTTCTTCTCCGCCTCTTCCCTGTTGGCCATTTATTTATTTTAAAGTCCAAATGAAAACGTAATCCCTTGTCCCGTGAGCACTGACGCTAATTTTTTTTTTAACAGAGGTGCTCTCCCCCCATTAATTTTCTCCATGGTTTAATGGATGCCCTTAATCCGCGGTAGATTATTTTGAAAAATATTCAAATATTTTTTGACTACCGTGACGTGAGATATCGCCAGAATTATTAATTTGCTCCAGCGGATGAGTTCATATCACCGACTTCTTTTTTCAAACTCTCTTCCTCTCCCAAACCCATCCCATCAACTTAATGCCTCGGTTCACCACACGCCACCCCGCTCTTACTCCTCTTTAATCTGCACGTGACCGGAGTTTGATTTCAGCTGGGATTTGTCTGTATTCGCAAACCTCCGAGATATTTCTGCACCCGTCACACCGCATCCACTGTAAACTCTGCCTCTATACATACATCCGTGTTCGGTGCAATGTCGTTGTTGTTGATTGATGGCGCACTTGTATTTTATTTTTGGAGATTTAAATGTAGTGTTTCTTTGGAAACGGTGTGCTTTTCCACTGGCACTTTTTATGCCTAATCTTTAACTTTTTTTCTTCTTCCTTAATTGGCTAAAACGTTTAAAAGATAAATTTTACATTTAACCTTATAATATTTCTTACGTGTATTTTATTTACTCATTTGCATCGTTCATTTATTTTTCTCTGTGTTATGTCTGTCACGGACACGGCGTGTTGTTTTGTTTATGAAACCCGACTTAAGAGCTCCTGAGCTCACAGGGCACATCAAAATAAACTGAAACTGAGGCAGATGCCACCTATTACAGTCTACCAGCGACCTGGAAAATAATTTTGCAAGAAACTAAAGCCTCGGTCCCAACCATCTTCGCACGCCTTCGTTGGCCTGTTTGTCTGTTTGTCCACCAGGAATTAAAAATATTCCCCCACACACCCACACACACACCCACACACCCACCCACACACCCAACATCCCCCGTATAGCCTTAACATACTGTAGGGGCAAGTGCTGTTAGCGAGCACCTATTAAGGCCGGCAAGGCACATAAGGGGGTGGGTGGCCAACACCACGCCCGGCTGCCTTTGTCTTTCCAGCGGCGATGTTTACACATCGCACCAGGTACTCATTTGAGGCTGAGTCGACTTGGGGAGGCCCAGGGCCAGTTTAGATAATCGTCACTGGTGTTGTTGGCCGTGAGGGGGAATCGAAGCCAGGTCGCCAGGTTCGTAGCGCAGCGCGCTTACCGCTACACTACCGCTCCCCATACCACACATCCACACCCACCCACACGCACAACAACAACAACAACCGCCATTCGCCACCAAGTGGCGGTGATGTCACCACGACGCTTGTGCCAGCCCATGTGCACCTTGAGGCCACGTGAAGTGTCGAACGCCCGCTGGCAGGAGGTCACGGGGCAGACCCAGGTTCCACAGGTTGACTGACTGAGACGACTGGCAAAACAACCCCCTACCTCCTCGCGGTGCCAGAAGGGCAACGTTGTGGTGGACAGTGCTGTGGCGGGGAGGGCCAATTCCGATTGGCTTCTCCCCTCATGGCGTCTGTGACCACCACAGTGGCTAAATTGGGGCTCTGGACGGGTGCAAGGGGCTGGTAACCCCTCCACCTTCAATACATTACCACTAAACCACGGCCCACACACCCATCCACACACCCAACCACATACCCACCCACCCACCCACACACCCACACACCCACCCACACACCACCCCCCAACTTCCCCCTCCAGCAAATCGATGTTCGCACAATTCAGGGATCACAATACGATTGACAAATGTATATATTTTGTTCTCATTTTTACAATCTCATGTTTTTCTCCCATTTTTTCCTCTCCTACCTTGCAGAACTTTATTCACCCCACTTAGCGTTAATGTAACGCCAGGACATCGTTTTGTGCACATTTAGCGTGAATTGTGGTTCATTTGGACCTACGTGCACGATTCAACAGACGCGTCATTAGCTAAGAATCCATTTTAATCGATGTATGAAAGCATCGCTACAGCCCAATTACGACTGTCGGCTTAGCAGCCTTCATTTATTACGTTATTCTATTATTTCCTGCAGGTTCATTGTCATCGGTTGTTTACAATTTACTTAGTTTACCATAAAATCCGAGATGGTTAATAATCTATCCACCACTATGCCTTCATATCTTGAATTTATTTTTCTTAATAAGCATCTTCTGATGTCACTGCGGGTGTATGAACCACAAATATGCACGATCCGCTTCACAGTAGATGTTAAAGACCCAGTCCCGTTATTCGAAAATAAGGATGCCATGCGTGACAGTGTCATGGTCCAGATTTGACAAATTTTATTAAGTTAATTGCAAATAAAACAAAAAAACATGGCAACGTCTCTCCCTGGTGGCAGACGAAGGCCCACTGAGCAGGTTGCGGACATGTCATGCCACACAGCGACAGCTGCCACGGGGGGGGGGGGGGGGGGTCCCCTTGGCTGGGCTGGAGCGCTTCACTGAGACGATTGAGATGAGATACGACGAGGATGATGATGATGATGCAGTGTCGCTTGGAGTTGCTCGCAGTCGAACCTCTCCCCTCCTCCTCTCGTACCTCCCCCTCTCACCCCCCACGTGGCGCCCCCTCACACCCCACGTGCCTCCCCCCTCCCCGCCCCCCCCCCCCCCCCCCCCCCCAGCGTGCGAGCTGATGGAGCAGGGCATCCTGGCGCTCGTGAGCTCCACGGGCTGTGCCACGGCCTCCTCGCTGCAGTCGCTGAGCGACGCCATGCACATCCCGCACCTCTTCGTGGAGCGGGGGGGCCCCGCGGCCTCCCCCTCGTCGGCAGGGGGGGCGGCCGGCACGGGGGGCTCTCCCCGCAGCGGCTGCGAGCTGCCCCCGCACCCCCCGCCGCTGCCGCCGCAGACGACGAGCGACCCCGGGGCGCCGGGCGTGGAGGAGCCGCAGGGCTACACGCTGACCGCGCGACCGCCCGCTGTGCTTGGCCACGTGCTGACGCGCGTGCTCGCCGACTTCGCCTGGCGCAAGTTCATCCTCTTCTACCAGGCTGGATACGGTACGTGGCCGCGGGGCCGCGGGCGGGCTGGGCGGATGGGCACGGGTGGCCTGACCGGCTTGGCTGGGCGGGCGCAAAGTCCAAGAGGGAACCCTGTCGAGTCAATCGCGGGGAAGTCAGAATCAGAATATTTGTTTACGCTGGAGGAATCCGATGAGCTGCAAAGTTCTTTTCACAGGTCTCTTGACAGGGACCCTGAGAGATCTGTCGACAGGGACCCTGAGAGATCTGTTGACAGGGACCCTGAGAGATCTGTTGACAGGGACCCTGTCAACAGATCTCACAGTGTGTCCTTTCCACGATATTAATCGGGAGTGTTCCGTTCGACGCTCCAAAATTTGTTCAAACTGCTTACGTACTTTCATTTGTCGTCTTCCCCGGCTTCTTGCACCTATCGTTGTTTCCCAGTCGAGACGTTACATTCAGTCTCCTGTCATTTGTTTATCACTTGTCCACGAAGAGGACTGTCAGGAGATCCATTGGAGGGGTTCATTATGGGGAACTTGGCGGGTCCATGAAGGCGATCTATTGGGAGGCCCATGAAGGAGTTTGTTGCTGTCCATGAAAGGGTCTTTAAGGTCTGTCGGGAGGTCTATCAGTCTGATGGAGCTCATGATGGGTGTTTTATTCGAGGTCATGTTGCGGTCTTGTCAGAAGATCTATTCGGGTTGTATATGTGAGATGTGAAGTAGCTGCAATGCTGCCTGTCAGGTGGTAATGTGCAAAAAAAGTACAATGGAAAATAACGGAACATATTCTTGGTTCTTTCGGTAAAGGCACGTGACTTTACCGAAAGAGCCAAGAATATGAATCCCTGCAGTCACGAAAGCTTTAAATCAAAATTTACACTGTAACATGATAACAAATGTACAGTGGTACCTCGAAGATCGAACTTAATTCGTTCCAAAACCGTGTTCGAACACCGAATTTTTCGAACACCGAATCAATTTTCCACATAAGAATGAATGGAAATAGCATTAATTGATTCCCCACCCAAGGATGCTCCTATTATGGGCCATTTTTACACAAAGTTTACAAATTTAAAATACAGTGCAGTACATAAAATCATACAAGAAACGAGAAACACAGTTATAATTAATAGAATAAATGAACATTGAACTTCACTTTACCTGTAGTAAGGAGAGTGGATGGCTTGAGTGGAAGGTGGTGAGGAGGAGGAGGTGTCAGTGTTGCTTGGAAGGGGAGTCCCCCTCCATAAACCCGTTGGGTAACTGCCCTTCTGGGGTTATTTCTTTTATTTGCCTTTTGTCGAGCACTAACTGCGATTCACTTGAGGGCCTTTTTACTAAAAACTGATCGAGAGGATTGTTTTTGCCTCCGTTTTAAGATGTTTCTGAAATTACTCAATGCATTAGCATTATATAAATCGCCTGCTCTGCTGGCTACTGCCTTATCTGGATGATATTTCTCTACAAAATTGTGTAACTCAGCCCATTTTGCCACCTTTGAAAAAGGCCTTTCGTGTAGAGTTTTTTTTTTTAAAGTTGGAAATTACCTGTTGGTCCATGGGCTGGATGTGAGGAGTCGTATTGGGGGGCAGGAACTTTACAGTGATAAAGGACAAGAGAGCTACGCGTGAACTGGGTCATTCGCCTTTGTCTCGGTCGCCCTGGCTACGCGTCTCGGCCCAAACAGGTTCTTTCCAGTTGTACGACTTCCGAATTTTTGTTCGATGTCCGGGGCAAAAAATGGTCGAAAATTTTGTTCCATCGCCGAATTGTTCGAGTACTGGGGCGTTCGATCTCCGAGGTACCACTGTAATGTTAATCGCTTCAAAAAGTCAAAGAGTCTCCGCTTGTTCACCAACATTGTCAACGCGTGCCTGGAATCTTCATCCAGGTGGTCTCCAGAGCACGTTGGCAGCACATTTTTCGTGGTGTCGTTGCAAATTTTCAGAAGTGTTAAAACCATTTTTTTAAAGCACCCTGTATTATCGGGTATTCAAGCAAGCCAGCTGACAGAATTGGACCACTCTGTAGACGGGCCAACGAGCAATTGACGAAGGCAATCCCCAACCACGCCGAGTTCATTTACATTTAAACACGCTCGCAATTCAGAAGTTCTGAGAAGATACATATAGATATATATTATATGCATGTAATATATACAGAGAACGCCTAATATCCAATGTCATAATAGGGTGTTCCCCCTTTTTTCTGGCAACAAAACTGAAACTTTTTTACGAGGATTCATGTTTGCATTAACCACAATACCTGCAGTCAAAATGCAAACAAAAAACATACTATGATAATATATGCATTGTCCTTGAAACTGATTGGTCCACACCAAGGGACGGCTTTCTTTTGAGCCTCGACCCAATTGGTGCTCGCCCAGAGGACGCCAAAAGGCGTACAGCTCAAAGACAATGCACTATCAAAGTAATGAGGGCTCGGGGTGAGCATCTACATCATGAGACCTCCTTTGCCAGTACCAAAATGTAATAATAGGGTTTTTTCCCCTTTTTTCTGGCAACAAAACTGAAACCTTTTTACAAGGATTCATGTTTTGCATTATCCACAATACCTACAGTCAAAATGCAAACAAAAAACATACTATGATAATATATGCATTGTCTTTGAAACTGATTGGTCCACATCAGAGACAGCTTTCTTTTGAGCCTCGTCTCAAACGGTGCTAGACCAGAAGACGCCAAAAGGCGTCCTCTGAAAAAAGGGGAAAACCTATTCATAGTTTTATACTGGCAAAGGAGGTCCCATGATGTAGATTATGTGGATAGGTTAAAAGAAAATAACCTATCTCTGGTCTGTTTTTTGTTTGCATTCTGACCACAAGCATTGTGGTTATTGCAGACATTATTTCTTGTGAAAGGTTTCAGTTTGGTGTTTTAACATCTTAACACCTGTTTTGTTGCCAGAATAAAATTTGAAATATCTATTATCATAATCATCGTAAACTTAAAGCCTTTCATCAATCCACTGTTGGATCTAGGCCTTCGCACACTGTATCAGTCATGGGGGTAGTTTGACTGTACTTCACCATGCAGATTGATAAGGGGGGGAGGAGCAGGGAGGGGTGGGTGGGGAGAGTATAGGACTGATTCAATCCAAAATGTCACTCGACGTGGTGAAAGTTTCTTAAGGAACTGAATTCTGAAGAAAAACAACAAAGACAATGGTCCCCCCCTTTTGCTTAACAAACTGCTGGGGCAAGTGCTGTTAGCGAGCACCTATGAAGGCCGGCACGGTACACGACGGGGGTGGGTGGCCAGCGCTACGCCCGACCGCCTTTGTCTCCCCAGTGGCGATTTTTACCCACACTGCACCAGGTACTCATTTGAGGCTGAGTCGACCTAGGAAGAGGCCCAGGACCAGTTAAGATATCGTCACCGGTGTTGGCCGTGAACGGGAATCGAACTCGGGTCGCCGGGTTCGAAGTACAGTGCTCTAACCCCTAGGCTACCTCTTCCCAACAACAACAACAACCACCACGCATATGAGAGGATGACAATTCGATTCGTGAAGAAGCTTCCAGAACGTGGACCGAATCGTCAAACGTCTTACCGAGCAACACGTGGCACCACCCAAAAATACATCGGAGAGGGGGAAGTTTACTTTATGCAAATTGACCCAGCAATAAACACCCTTCCTATCAAGCCTGTAATGAAACTATTTACTATTGGTTTTATTTTACCAGGTAAGGCCCACTGAGCTACGTAGCTCGTTTTCAGAAGCGACCTGATCACAAATGATAGCTCAACAAAGTGGCTCATCACGTGGACATTTAAAGCAATCCAAATACCCTAAACGCGTGAGAGTTGATTCTAAATGTGGAGGGGGAAACCGGAGAACCCGGATGAAAATTCACGTGACCACGGGGAGAGCATGCAAACTCCAAATATACAGCAGGCGCCAGGATCAGGATTGATGTCACAAACGTCCAGTAGGGGCGTGTCAAGGAGTTCACGTCTCGCCACAGTGGCAGAACAGCATTAGTAGGTACTTGGGACCAATCCAGTTTTCCATAGTACATTTGATTGCAAATATACACAAACATTTTTGTGTATCACAGGGGTATTAAAAAAAATGACACTTCTTGAAAGTTAAGTAAAAAAATATATGACTCGGTATCCACCATCTACTTCGACATTTCTAGGTATTTCATGACTGCTGTTTGCACTTAATGAGACGACTGAAAAGGTGTTAAATATCGGCTGAGTGTGCTTGCAACCGACATTGATCATTATGATCAGCCATGGTCATTCCACTGTTGGATGAAGGCCTCCCCAAGCCACCGCCACTTCTGACGTTCCTGCGGTGCAGCAATCCATCCAGAATCATATTTATTTGTACTGGAGGAGGAATCTGATGAGCTATAAAGCTCTTTGTCACAAACGTCCAGTAGGGGCGTGTCAGAACGTTACAACAACAAACAAGACAACAAACACGATATATATGCAAAGTATTGGAAAGGTAAACAAATCACTTAAAAAAATATGCAAATGAAACTAAACTACGTTTATCTTACCAGGTGCACTCGCACCTGCACGTGAACCGATTCCATCGCTCTATCTCCTCCAATGACGTTCCTCTTAGAGTGCGCCCCATTCCCTGGCCACCCCGCTCCGTTCCTTGTTATTATCCCTTGGCGATGCCGATTACACGCGTGTCTCTTCCGCACACGGCGGTCGCACATCCAGGAGCTATCCGGGCTCAACCCCGCTTAGCCTCGGAGAGCTAACCAGACCCGCGGCACATTCCGTGTCGTGGAGGCGATGGATATTCAATACGACAGCTTGTTTCTGGGGTGTTTGCAGTCGTGGCAACTAGCAGCGATACATTGAGTTTGTTCACACGGACGCGCATTTCGAGGACACTTTGAAGTAGCAAAAAAAAACTACGGCTAACCAATCTGAACTAAAACGCCACATTCGGGCGCGTGCGGGCGGACACGCACACACACGCACACACACGCACACACGCGCACGCAACGACGACTGCGCTCTTGCTGAAACGCGCTAC